TCAACAAAAACTAATGATGTACTGTATGGTGACTAACATAACATAATAAAATTTAAAAAATAAAAAAAAATAGATGTAGATTCAATGAGAAATAAAAATTTGTAAATTGACCCCACCCAACTATATCTGCCACTTTAAGAATGACATTTTAGCCCAGTCAGCATTATCAGTCTCTAGCTGATCACATAAATTTGAACAATTCTGATGATTTAATATAATTACAATAAAATTAAGTTATATCTACCAAAACTTTGGATTTTATTAAGTTGATCAAATTAACCAATTAACATTGGTAAACTCTTTAAATCCTACTCAACACCATCGACAAATGACAATTTGGCCAAGTTAGACTGCTTAAAATAAAGAAACTAAGAATAATGACCTAACGGACAGTGCCAAAGAGAATTTTGAACAATGTATTAATAAAAGATACTTTTACAAAACTAAAATGTCTAAAACTATTTTGTAAAAATGACCACTTGAAATGAAGCATGTCACAACTTATAATGTTCACAAGATTTAGCAAAGATGTTCCTTTTTTAAAAAGATAAAATTATTTTGATAAATAACTTAGTTATTTTAAGATAAAGTCCTAATTATTTTTTCTACTTTTCATGGTGAAATTCTGTTTCTTCTTCTTAAGTAGATCTTAAAGTAGTAGCATCCTACCTGTTAGTTTATCTTAGACAACAGAAACCTCCTACAGTATTTCCTAACACATTTCAGTTTTATAAAAGTCAAGGAGAAGTTGATCTTCAGACAATCAACACCCTGAAATAAAATCTATTTTTTATTATAATTAATATTATATTAATATAATATTATAATTAATAAATCTAATTATGTTAAATACCTGTGTACCAAGAATCCAACAACACTAACTGGTCACTCCTTCGGTGCTTAGCTCCCTCCAAGGGATAAACGTTCCAGATGAGGTTGAAGGTCACATGTACCTTTTAAATGACTACTGAATGACAATTAACACGGAATTCCAAAATATTTTTCTGTATCTCCTTGAGAAAATAAGAGACAATGTGGACTTCACCAGCATGGCAGACATCCACCAATTTTCAGCACTTAAAACCTGATCAAGTATTGTTTTTGCCCAAGAAATGCCCCAGATTAACTTCAGCCCCATTTCTTCTAAAAATTTGTCCTTGTAGAGTGAAACATGGTCACATTGCAAACGACCACCTTAACTAGTCTCTTGGTTGAAAAAACCCTCACAAACACCTCATTCAGCACAATTTTACTTCACATCTGCCTGATTCCTAATAAGCCTTCCTCTGTTCAGATGGACTGGAACTGGAAGTTGATAAACCCTCACATAGAAAAAAGGACCATTGTACTACAGCTCAGCAGAGACAAAATATATCTTTAAAAATTTACAATACATGCATTCAATAACTACTGAATCACCTAACTCCAAAATAAAAATGCATGTATTTTTCCATGACCTTGATGTCATTTTAGATTTATTTTCTGGTAAATAAAAGCTACCTACTCAGGGAAGCAAATAAACAAACTCTTCTTTGACCACTGTCAGAATTTAGAATTGATTAACAAAAGCCTTATTTAAAAAAAAAAAAAATCTCCCATGGTATGATTTAATCTTCCAGCAAAGTAATTCAGATAAAAGCCAAGTAGGCACACCATAGTCTATAAGCTTCCTATTACAACATCTTTCTAGTTATATACATAAGTAGTGTGCACACTTACACCCCCAGACATTATATGTATATATGTATTTTTCCACCTGATAATGTACAAATTATGTCCCCAGATACTTACACCCAAGTTTAAGTCTTTTATGTATTTTACAATTATAACAATATTTTATACACAACTACTAACTTGGGGAATATTTGAATGGTTCTGCCCAATTTTAAGTCACAGGAACACTGAAATGGCCTTTTAGCCATTTGGGGGAAAGTACTATCAGAAAGAAATAGGGTGATGCCTTTTACAATCATTTACAGGATAACTCAAAAATCCAGAGAAATTTACTTGCCTCTCAAATCCAAGAAGTCAGCGTTCTTTATTCTACCTTTTCAGTGATTCAGTCTATTCTAAGGATACAGATTCTAGATGTGTTCTAATGACATCTTCCTATTAAGTTTAATAAAAGCTTTAATATTCCTACACTGAATCTACTTATATACAATGAGAAAATAATGAGTGAACAAATACTACTCATGGAGTAACACCTCTCCAATCTTAAGTAAACATTTTACAATGTTTATAGTGTACAGACTTATAATAGTACTATCCTCAAAGTAGTTCTGGGAGACATTTACTCCTTAACTAGAGGATTATCTTTTTCCTTAGTTTAATACAGAAACACCAGAAAGGAAAAAAAAAAAAAATGTGGCACTTACTGGGATACATAAAATAGAACTCCACAGGAATAAACAGAAAATTAAATTCAAATATTTATGGAAAAAATACAAAGAACAGAAGTTGAGATACAAGAGTAGCAATGAAATAGAAGAACAGTTTTAAATCTGTGTGTGTGCGCACGTGTGCACACGTGTGCATGTTTGATGGCAAAAGGCAGAGGCAAAAGATAAACAGAAAATTCACAGATGACACAGATTCCCCCCTGGGGGCCTGCCACAGTTACTCACACTAAGAAAAGTCAGCTCACAGGAAATGTGCTTTTGTGATAGATCTAATAGAGTATGTGGGAGAAGATAACCAAGTACTCAAACTCAAGTACTTAAGGGAATGTTGAAAATGTCTGACTCAAACTCGCAAATCAAATTAAAGCAGAGGTAGTGATCTTCGAGTCATCTCATCCAAATTGGAAAGAGGAGGAGCTAGGCTGTTAAGTGCCACAACGTATGCCTGCCAAAGAGACAGCAAGTGCATTTTGCATTTATGCTTTCATTCATTCATTTTAATCCTTACAATGATTTAAGAAGTAGAGTTATCAACCTCATTTCTAAAATGAGGAAAGCAAGCCTCAGGAAAGTTAAGTAACTTGACCAAGGAACTGAGGAATTCTGAGTTTAAAGCCCTTGTTCCCCTTCATGATACTGATACATGAAACTTCAGAATATTATCTAGGAACATAGAGAGATTTCTAAGCAAGTTAATGTAGAGGGAGGAATAGAGGGCCATACACAGAATTTTTAACGTGCTTGTACCCTACAGAGCCTTAGAGTATTCCAGCATTATGTGTATTTCCTAATGTCCCCCAAAACACCCCAATGAAGACATAAACATCCAATAAAATCAGTCACTTGTGGAACTTTAGTTTCCATAATCAGCAAGATCCATGAAACTTATCTTTAGGGTATATAACCAAATACAATAGGCCAACAAAATCAATCTCCCCCAATTGCTAATTTGTTTATACTTGCAATGCTAGACTTACAACTTTTTTGTAGTACAAATTATCTTTTCTTTCTGTATTAATGATCTTACTTAACAAGAACTAAATTGCTACATTATTGGGATGGGACTGAGCTTCCGCAACTCGGCAATAGCTATGTTTTGAGAATTTCACATTTGGAACCCCTTCTCACAGCAAAGTGTCACAGACTACAGACTACTCAGCTAGCCTCTGATTTTATTCCTTCTGGCTGTGCTCTCCAAGATCCCTCTCTTCTGTGCAGTTTAATAGGCCAATTAAGTAAATGGTATACTAAACATACACTTTAAGTCTTTCACAGGAAAGACCTCCCCAAAATTTTCATGGGCCATTCTTTGAGAAATTCTCTTTCATCTGTTTCTAACTCTACTTTTGCTGTCCCTATGACATAGAATTATCAAACAGTCCATTTTCTTCCACATATTTTCCCTCTCATTTTTTTTTTTTTTACTTTGGGATTTCTTTTCCAATGGCATTCTGCTAACGTGCTAATAAAGTTCTTTCATCTTATCCGAACAACCAGTCAGCTCAGCAGTATATTTTGCAGTTGTAATGAAGAAAAAGAAATGAAATTGGTTGCTAGATTATTTTTTTCCTAAACTTGTCGATTCAAACAAATAATTGCAGTAACAAAGGAACACAGTCATAGGGGTCATAGCAAGAGAGTAAGCTCAAGAATCCATAAAGAAGAGTTTCTTCTTGGTTTGGATGGATTTCCTCAAGGGTGAAATTTTATTAAAAAGAAAAGTTGATTTCAAGGAAGGAAGCCTAAGTTTGAAGAGTTAAATCTGCATTGGTAAAAAAGATGTGATACATATATATATTACTATCCATCAAAAAGAATGAGGGGTACTTGGATAGCTCAGGTGGTTAGACATCTGGCTCTTGACTTCAGCTCAGGTCATGATCTCAGGGTTGTGAGATCGAGCCCTGCACTGGGTTCCACACTGGGCATGAAGTCTCTTTAAGATTCTCTCTCTCTCGGGGCGCCTGGGTGGCTCAGTCGGTTAAGCGGCTGCCTTCGGTTCAGGTCATGATCCCAGGGTCCTGGGATCGAGTCCCACATCGGGCTCCCTGCTCTGCGGAGAGCCTGCTTCTCCCTCTCCCTCTGCCTGCTTCTCTGCCTACTTGTGTTCTCTATCTCTCTGTCAAATAAATAAATAAAATCTTTAAAAAAAAAAAGATTCTCTCTCTCTCCCTTTGCCCCTCTCCGACCAAAAAAAAATGACATCTTGCCATTTGTAACAATGTGGATGGAGCAAGAAAGTATAATGCTAAGCAAAGTCAGTCAGACAAATATCATGATTTCATTCATATGTGGAATTTAAGAAACAAAACAGATGAACATAAGGGAAGGGAAGGAAAAATAAAATATAAAAACAGAAAGGGAGGCAAACCATAGAGGACTCTTAACTATAGAGAATAAACTGAGGGTTGATGAAGAGGAGGTGGGTAGAGAGACTGGTTAAATGGGTGATGGGCATTAAGGAGGGCACTTGTTGGGATGAGCACTGTGTGTTATATATAAGTAATGAAACACTAAATTCTGTTCCTGAAACCAATACTACACTATATGTTAACTTGGATTTAAATTTTTTTTAAATATCTGCATTAATTCACTTACTGAAATAACAACAATAGGATATAAAATAGATAGATTACTCTCTTCAAGCATGTTCAGTAATTTCCGGGTTTCCTCAAAATCAGAGGACATAACCTGAAAGACCAGAAAAATAAAAGTGAAAATAAGTTCTTAAATGATTTAAATGTTAATCCAAGGATAATTAAAAATAAAAGGGAAAAAAATGGAGAGCTTTTACACAAACATCCAAAACATTTATCAAGCTTAGTTTTCACTTTTTGAACAACTTTAAAGGATACCCATTAAGGTCATATTAAAATTTAAACTATTCATTAATTCAAACATGTTTCATCTTATCTGCTTCATACCAGGTAACTGAAAATGGTGTCTAAAGAAAAATTACCCTCTTCTCATTATGGGAACTAGCTTGTTAGAAAATATTATTTTTCCATTTCAAAAGTTAAAAAATAAAACTTCCAAATACATACTGAATAACACAACTTATCTATCAAAACTTAAATTCAAATAAGAATCAAGAAAAAAATTATCTTCCACATTTACATTCATACAGATCCTCAAGTGCTTCCAATAATTTAAATTCACTACTCACATTCACACAAACGTAATTGTAGCATTGCTCTAAGATGATTTGCTCAAGATCTCTGCTAGCAGGACACAGAGCTCCAGAGGTGACTTGTACATGCTAGGAGAAAAAAAAAAATAGAAGAAAAAGGAGTTTATAAACTAGATAGAAAAACCAAACCAGAACCTAAACGACAGTTAAAAATGAGCACAAAACTACTAGAGACACATAAAGCCAAGAATCATATATAAAAACAAAATAATTCAGGCTACAGTTTATGAAGCTACCAAGAAAAAGACATTTGAACTAGTCCATGAGTAATGATTACTATTTTGATAAACACCAATATAGCTAAAGTAAATAGTTTTAAGTAGGAAAAGCTAGAGGTTATATGCAGGGACAACCAAGTAACTGTTTTTTCTTATTCAAAGGATGTACTGCAGAAAATGCTGGACTATTATTAAAAGGTTGGTTAGACAGGGATTGTTGGATGATTCTGGAAACATGTTAAATTCTACAGTTACATAGATTTAACTAACCTGGAAAGACTAAAAACAGGAAAGGCAGTAAGAAATTATTATAATAGTGTAAGTATGAGAGAAATAAGACTTGAACTAGGACAATGATAGCAAGAGATGAAGAGATTATTACCAGAGGTGGTCCCAGACTAGATTTAGAATAGTACATATATTACAAAAATTTTCCTAATGAGGGGTGCCTGCGTGGCTCAGTCAGTTAAACATCGACTCTTGATTTTGGCTCAGGGGATGATCTCAGGGTTGTGAGATGGAGTCTGAATAGGGGCTCTCCACTCAGCAGGGAGTCTGCTTCAGATTCTTTCTCCCTCTCCTTCTCCTTCCCCCTCTGCCCCTCCCTGTGCACATGTGCACAGTCTCTCAAATCTTTTAAAAAGAAAAATTTTCCTAATGACATTTTTATTCCATATCGCTCAATATTCTAATTAACTTCCATTTTTTTCTTCTTATAACAATATGAACAAAAATTTAATTACTAAACAAAGGAAGTGTTTTATCTATACTAGTCTAATTCCCCAGAAAGTCACATTTCGGTAGTTAGTACTGGCATTACATTTAGAAGTCTTTACAATCTACTATTCTAAAATAGAAAGCTTGTCACTTAGTAAAACATTAAACCTTGTACTTCTAAGAGCATTACATCGTAAGTAGGATTCATCCTAATTCTATGCAATTTTGACAAAATATTAGAGAAGGGGAAATAAAGGTTTTGAGGTCTTAGCAGTGCTAGAAATTAGTTGGCTCATAAATTTCAAGACTTTTCTTTCAGTTTAAAGTTCTTATTGAGGGGCGCCTGGGTGGCTCAGTCAGTTAATTAAGTGTCTGCCTTCCGCTCACTTCTCCCTGCTTCTCCCTCTCCTCCCCACTTGTGCTCTCTGTCACTACCTCTCTCTCTCTCTCAAATAAATAAAATCTTTCAAAAAAAAAGTTCTTAATGAGTACAAAGTTCAGAGAGAACATTAAAAAAATAATAATAAAACAGTTCCATATGCATCAGCCATATATTGATAATAAAATAGGAAGAAACTGGATTTCATTGTGTAACATTTAGTTTGTTCAAGGAATCACATATTCTAGATATTATAGGGAGACAATTTTCCAAGAGGTTTCTCATATACCCAAACATTTTCAAAGGCATTAATAGCTAATTTACTCCAGATTGACTTTTCAAAGATGTTTGCATAGCAGGCAGATTTGCAAAGATAGGTACATCTCCTCCTGGAGCAAATCTGTTTATGTTCCAGAAAATAAAGGTAAAGTCATCTCTCTCCCTGAGGCAGATCTGCTTGACATTCCAGAATAATAAAGACAATGTCTCTTTTGTAACCGGAGGATGTGCTGGTTTGCCCACCGTCCCTGAATAAGGCAAGTGCTCCCCAATATCAAGAGTCTTCTTTAATGCACCCCACTGAGACAGCACCTAGTTGTAACTGCATTTCCCTGTAGGAACTGCAATTCAAAAAAATCAACGCTACACTGTTATATTCCTTAATGCTACTGCTGTAACAAATTGTCTTTTCTCTGAGCACAGAGTTTCAGGTCTTAGCCTGATACTTAAGATATTAGCATGAATGTCTGCATGCACGTATCATATAATTCCTCAGATCCTGCCAAGTTTGACTTAACAGATATACGACAATCATATCAGATCTTAACTTCAAAAACGTAAGTAAATTTGAATTCTAAAAAGTGACCTAATTTAAAATTTTCTTTTTCATATATGTAAATAAGGTCTAGGATGAGAACATGAGAGATATTTAGCTTTGTAAGTACTGAAATGGAGAAAATTCTTAAGGACAGGGTATGGGATCCTTGCACACAGAAACATCCTGTTTTTACTGCTAGCAAATAATAAATAGGCATTTTAAACTTACAACAGTTTTTTTTTTTTAAGAAAAAAGTCATTTCAAGAAAAATGGTCTATGTTCTTAAAACCAACAACTTGAAAAAGGTAAAAAAAAATTCTTAAGGACAGGGTATGGGATCCTTGCAC